AAATGCTCTTTAGTTAAATTCATTATTAATTTATATAGAAAATGAATGCCTATCATTTTGTGCATTCTAAATAACAAAAAATATGATTAATTGGGCTCCAGTTTGACACAAGAACTCAAGGTCTCTTTTCTCATAGAGAACCTTAAGACTTATACTCATAATTAGTTTATGAGCTCGCCTTTAGAACTCCTTAAACTATAAATAAAATTCCATGTTTAAATTAAACAAAAAAAGAAATAAAATTTTATCCTACCTTAACGTCTTCTTGCCTATCCTATTGTTGGATTGGACATCCTAATTTAATTATCTAGAAGTTGAAAGAAGATTTAGAGCACATATCTCAAGCCCTAGGAGTTTCAAATTTCTCTAAAAACACGAACTTAGAAAAAAGGACTCAAATGAAAAAAATTTTAAAATTTAGGTCAAGAGTTGTAAAATTTTCCAACTACAACTCAACCCTACGTGAAGACTCGCATGGAAAGCAATTCCATAGATGTATATGCCTCCTCTCCTACCTTCCTTTTATAACCATCTCATGCCTCACTACTCTCATTCCTATCCAACAAGAGACATATTTTCAACTAACTAGACTCCCTTTTTACATGATGTGAGACTTTATTCTCAATCTACTTAGGTTTTTAAGTTTCTCTATATGTTATTTACTCATTTCTTTACTTATTTTTCTTTTTAAGGTCTTACAAACCTATTTTTGAGAGAATAAAATTCTAAAATTACTCTTTGGTTCTTAAAATGACACTTTCTTAACTGCTTAAACTCCTGCAAAATTTTTATTTTCTAAAATCACTCAAGATTTGAGACTTGAGTAGAGAAACCAAACACATTGCAGTATTCAAGGAATGTGCCCAAATCTATGGTCACATTTTTTAGGATTTTTGACACTATCTAATCTATTTTTTAGATATTAATAATGAAGGACCTTACTATACCATCTTAATGCCTTGTAAGGACCTTTCTAAACCTTATTGTTACTAAATAACTTTTGGCATATTTTTAATTTCTCGCAATTTAAATCCTTATTCCTATTTTCTCATCCTTTAGACCTTAGAACTCATTAATTAATTATGTATATCTCAATTAACTCTCTTAATTCTTAAAATTAATGGTAATTAATGACCATTACTTAGGGATTGAAAATCTAACATGTTACATTTAAGCACTTAAATTATTATCTAAATTGAGCCTAGGATCATTATGAGGTTTAACTAAGCTCCAATATAGATATTGGGATAGATTGGGCCCAAATTATTAGGCTTAAGAGAGTAGTCTATTTTTGTGTCATGTGTCACGATACATGCCACAAAATTAGCTTAGGTGTTGCTATTTGAAAATAGAAAAGCAGAGGAGAGTTCGAGAGGGTATTGGTGTAAATTTTGTGTGCTCTATTAGGATTTTTGGTTAGAGCATCCTTTGGGCACGTTTTAGGGCATTAAATCTCTAAGTTGAGCCTATTAATCTTCTCCTACCCTCTCATCTTCATATCTAGGCGTTTTTGTTAGGTTGTTGGCTAGTGTTTTGTATTTGGTGTAACTCTAGTCATGAGGTTTGAATTTTAAGAGTCATATGAGGTTAAAAAAGTATTAGTTAGGTTGTTTTAATGATGATTACCATGGTGGGTGTGCTTATCCAAAATGCTAGAAGCAATGATAAACTATGGTTTAGAGGGTTCATAATGATGGTGATTAGTAAAGCTTAAGGCTTAAATCTATAGAAAGTATTTAGGTTAATGAGATTAATTAACCTAACCCTAGGATTAGAGTGTAATTAGTGTTTAAACACTTGTATTAATGATGATTATTATTATATTGTTTATAGATTATGGTGTTAATATTGTTGGAAGTGATAGATCACTTGTCTATGGAATTTTACTTACAAGGAGTAAAAGTAATCTTTACTATTGTGTTGTGGTATTTGCTTTGTGATTGATTATGTGTGTTTTGTTGAAAATAAATGTTGCTTGAAATATTACATTTAGAAATGCATGTTATTTGTTTGGAAATTTGTATTGCCAAGTAAGATAAAATTGTATATCATTATGTTAGTATGAAAATATTTGTTTAATAACATGATTCCACTTGTTCAAATTTATCATTGTTCGAAAATTTGTCTGCATGACTTGTCGAGTTTGGAACTAATGTTTGGGGATTCATTGTTTGGACTTTAGTTGGGTGCCACATGATATGACCTCATTTGATCAATGAGTGGCTTATAGCTTAGACTAGCTTAATTACTTTTGGTTGGGTAAGTTAGGTGCTGAGCATGGACTTTGGTTTTCAAGAAAGGAGGAGATAATGTATTAGTCATGCATTTTTGTTCGGTTTGTTTGGAAACATGTTTTGTATGCCCACTTAACAATTGTATGATTAGTTACATTACATGCATTATGATATGTTAGTATTAATTATTAAGACCTTTATGTCTCATTCCTTGTAGTTAAGAATTGTTTAGGGAAAGGTCCAACGGGAGAAGGATTGAAGGCATAATGTTGGTGTATGGATCACCAAATTTTTGTTAAGCCTCGTTTTGGTTTGGTTTATATATGTTTGCCAACCTAGGACATTATTATTGCAATCAGCATTTGTGTCCCTTACATTTTGGCATACTTGTCTATTGTAGCCATGAGCGTGATTTTTTACTCTCATTGTCTTAATTTGTAATGATTTAAGCATGTTTTAAGTTTAAAGTTGTTTTATGGCGAGTTTTACTACTTATCTAATTATATTTGTATTGGATGATTGTAATCCAACTATGGTGATTTTTGGCCAATGTGCAGTTTAAAATTGTTGTTTTATGTATATGTAACATGGTTAAATTGTTTACATATTGATTTTTGCCTATAGCATTGGTTTGGTGAAGTTAATTGTTTGAAAAAACTTGTTTTACGACCCTTTGGGTTTTTGAGGATAAAATTCTTATATGAAAGAATTTTTGTCCAAACCAAAGTCATTAACTAGATTTTGTGATCAGCTTTGTGTGAACACTTAAATAACCTAATTTGGATTCTATAGTGAAAGTTATGCATGATTAAATTTTATAAATTACTGTTTATTCTGTCATAAGTGTTGATTTGTACACTTCTGTTGCAACATGTGGTTGTTTAACCGCAAAACACAACTTAGTGAGCTATTAGCCATAGCTAACAACACTTTGCTGCAACTTGCTTTGCTATGATGTCTGCCGCGATACACGAAGTATTGGTTGTGGTGGATAGCATAAATTTTTCTAAAAATGCCCATTTGATTTCTTATGTTTCTCAAGATGTCCTTTTTTGCACTTTCACCCATATATAAGCTTGCTTTTGGATAATTTTTGTTTTTGAATATTTTAGCTATGGAAAACCATGCTGCACTATTATTTATGATTTATATAATTAATTTGAATTTTAAACACTTTTTTTGAATGAGATTCCATTTAGTATACTTTGAATTAATTTACTTTATTCCTAAATTCCTATGTTACATCTATTTCATTATATTTAATTCTTTGTATCATAGTAGCTTATTTTATACTATGGTAGTTGATTTTGAAAATGAGTTTATTATTATGATAAATCCTTATCTTTCATGTTAAGCCTTTATAAATTAGTTTTGACTTTCAATTACTATGATAGAATTTTTTATATTATGGTTGGTTTTAAAGTACTATCTTTTGTCCTTTATATTACGGTAAACATTTCATTACTATGGTAGGGTTTGTAAAATAATATATGTTGTTCTTTCTATCATGATAGACATTTTTCTACTATAATAAATATTTTAAAAGTTGAGTTTTGAGTTAATTACTCACTTATTAAAGAAAATTGATTAAAAATTTTAGAGTGTGATAATCCGCAATCGGTGCTTATCAATCGTTAGGGTGATCTTGGCCCTTCATTTCTCTTTAAAGTGATCTCAGTCATTAATTTTAAATTAATTTTTAAATATTATATTTGTGAAAATAAAAATTATAAAAAATTTAATTTAAATCTATACTGTCTTTGTATTCATTAGAGGATGAGCACTAAGATGCTCATTACTCTTGACAGGATCTTCATAGTCTATATTTATATTTATATTTATCAAAATAACAAAATTATAAAAATATCAAATTTTTTATAAATTTGTTCATCATCAATCTTGCAAGTACATATTTAATCTGTATGATTCAGTTTAATATTAATTTTTTTATATTTTTTATAAATTAACTATCCAAATGTACTCTTTGTACATTAAATATAATCTAGACAATTCAATTTAATATTACATTTTTTTGTAATTTTTACAAATGGATTGTCTAGACTAAAAAAATTTTTACAAATAAAATATTTAAAATATTTTTTGGGTAAATAAATATTTAAAATATTTAAAAGTAATTCAAAATTAATGCTTGAGATGATTTTGAGAAGAAATGGATGGCAAGTATCACTCGAGTGTCAATCCCAGCGAGCACTGATCAGGACCATTTGCAACTGGACTTGGCTTTGCTCCACTACAGTCTTGCTCCTCAGCAGCTCCACCGCATTAGGGAGAAGATATGAACCTTTCAAATTAATTTATAAAAATTATAAAAAAAATTAATAAATAGCTCATATTTAATATTTTATTTGTTATTTATCAAAATAAATACATTTATAAAAATTATAAAAGATTTAAAGAATATGATTATCAATATAGACAGTCTATTTAGTATGTTCATATTACCAAAATAAAAATTTATAAAAAATTTAATAAATTTATTTATTATTAATTTAAACAATATAAATTTAATTTAAATAATTTAATTTAATATTAAAATTTTTATAAATTAATTATTTAAATATATTTTAGACAGTGTAGATTTAATATTAATTTTTTAAAATTTTTATAAATATGTTTATTTTAATAAACAAAAAATAAAATAAAAATAGAAAAATAAATCTGGACCGTCAGGTTAATCTGGACGGTCCAGATTCTCCCCCAAGTGCAGTGGTACTGCGGAGGAGCAATACCGGCCTGGGTTTCTGACGCTTTTCATGGCCTTTGAAGGTAAGAGGGAAGAGGAAGCGATAGAAACATGAGATGAAGGAAATGGATAGGCAAATACAGGTCTTTCTGAGGAAGTTGTCATGGGCTTGCATCACCGTTGCTTCCTTCACCCTTCTTCTTCTCTTCCTCCGAACCCCTGAAACCTGTGTTCCTCCAGACACACCCTCCAAACCTCACCTCCGGTTCCCCAAATCTTCCTGCGATTTCTCCACTCGTGTGTACGTTCCCATCGACAAGAAGAACAAACGCCTCTGGTCCTCTGGAGAATGGCTCAAGAAGGTCAATTCCTACGTTAAATTCTTTAAATCCCTTCAAGATGTGGGTCTTCTCCAGAAGAATTCCAGAGCCCTCTGTGTTTCCGCAGGAGCCGGACACGAGGTCATGGCTCTCGCCAATTTGGGCGTGCTCGACGTTACCGGAGTCGAGTTGATCGAATCACCGCCACTGGTGAGTCGGGCTGATCCGCATAACTTGCCCTTCTTTAACAATTCATTTGATTTCGCTTTCAGTGCCCATTTTGCCGAGGCATTGTTTCCGTCACGATTCGCGTCGGAGATGGAAAGGACGGTTGAGGCCGGGGGAGTATGTGTGCTCGTTGTTGAGGAATGTGGGGATGATGAGGTGAAGGAGATTGTGGGCTTGTTTAGGAATTCTAGATTGATTAGCTCAAATAATGTTACTCTGATTGGATTGAAATGGACAAGTGTTATCATGAAAAAAAGAAATTCTTAATGATCATTCGTTAAATTTTTTATTTGTAAGTTCTGTAGATTTCTCTGTTGGCTATACATCTGTAAATTCGAAGATGCTTCAAACTGAATGAAGCGCTCCTACATTAGCTATTACTGCTGTTTCCAGCAGTTAATGTGCACCAGATTCATGTAAACTTCACATTTCAAAGTTGTGCTGAAAGAGATTGTATATTGTTTGTAATATGGAAAAGGTTGTCTTAGATCAGACAAAAAAGCTGCAGTATGCCTCAGATTTCATTGCTGTAAGTGTCCATTAATTTTATTGGAGTTGTTTATTTATGTATTTATTTTGATGTTTTTGTTAGTTTATACTTAGGAACATTCATATGCAGTGTTTTGTTTGAACATGTGACTGCACATCCTACCTGTGCTCGTGAAGGGGGATGAAGGGCCGTTGATATGAATGCTACTGTCATAAAATTTAATTTACATTACCCTGGTGATTGAAATACATTTTATCTTTGTGTCAATTGTATTGAAATGCTGCTGGCAGTTACTTCGAGAATATGCTTGTTTGTATAACTACTCATGGAATATGAGGTATGAGGTTTAAGAGTTTGGGATAGATTGGACTAATATTCATAAAGTACTGGATACAACATTTGTTGTTAATGATCAGTGTATGCTGTTATTTAATTCACATGACATATTGACATCATCATTGCCCATGGATGGTCTGAAAATGTTTATTCTGCCTTCTATACTTGTGAACTTGCGGGCATACGATGCAGCTTTGTCTTCCCATGGAAATCATGTAATGTTTGTAATATTTATAATATTTATAATTATGAATGGTTTATCTTTTAACTTCCTTTCAACTGCTTTATATGCAGGATGCTAAGAAGCATTTAACCCAGCATTCAAAATTTGGATGATGAAATGCTGAAGCAGAATGAGTTGGCACGTTCAATCAAGGATGATATATGCCCTTTGACACGATGTCACATATAGATGTTCGTGATTGTAAATACATTTAGATAGCTATGTTGAGTTGGAAGCAGGTAAAATGTTCTCTTGTACTTATTGTATGGGCTTTTCATCTATAAAGAATCCTCTTTTAATGCCCATTCCCTTTTTAATGAATCTCTGCTGTTAAAAATTGGTTGAAGATTAACAATAATAGTACAAAATTATTTTTATGTTTAAAAGTTATTATTATGCTTATTGAGCTTTATACATTTCGATGAGGAGTACGAATATTAAAAGGGCTTCTTGTAATAGAGTTATTGATATGTATGACATTATTGTTGGCTAATTACTGATACGTGTGACTGATCTTCGTTCTTAGGCTATTACTTCTACATTGTATCACCTAAAGTTTCCCACCTAGTGGGAAAAGGTTTGTTGTTCTAGTATCACCTAAAGGAAATGCTGATACAATAGTGTAACTGCAGGATTATGCAAATTATGGTTTGGTGTACCTCATTAATGGAAAATCTGGTAAAAGTCCTGAATTTTTGCAGGTAATTGCAATTTTTACTTCATTTTTTATTTTGTTTTTGTTGTTTGTCTCCCCTTCCTTACCCTTTAGTTGCTAGATATGCAAACTTTGTTATGACATTTTTCACTGCCCTTCTGTTGATAGAAATGTGCTATCATTCACCCCCTGTTAGGGATGTTTAAGTGACATTGAGAATTGCTCATAATGCTAGTTGTTTAGCTGTCAATTTATTTTTTTTTTTTTTCCTTTATAGATTATCATCTAAACATAATATGGTAAATATATGGCAGGGGCAGCCTAGAGTCATTCATTTTTTAGCTCAATATATCTGGTGGGAATAGAATGGGCAGAGGGGCCTAGAGTCTGTTAAGACAGCCAAAACAGTTGTTGATCCAATTCAGCTACTTGGTAGGCTCGGGCAATAATCCTTTTAGGAGCTCAAACCCATTTGAATTGGACGAGGAACCTAAAAACTATCAAGTCCTAGCCCATAAAATAAGATCAACCCTACTTTCTTTATATAATGTGTGCAAATTGTACCATCAAAAGCAAAATAACTCTATAGAAGAGTAACTGAAACACATTTGAAAGATAAGATAGAGGTGTTCCACACTACACAACCGCATGGTCAGTAACCTGACCCTTTACCCTTTAAATTTCTCCTGCGTCTCCTGAAAGAGCACTAATGTTCCATGATCAAGCTGTACATGAAGTGGTCTTTGTATGTTAGAAATTTGGTTGTTTCAAAGGCTTCAACACCATTATGGTTAGTTAGTGCTAAAAGGAACTATTTTTCATAAGTCATTGCTATTGTCATGGCTTTTCTGGGCATTTTTATTGAGAGTCCTAAGAGAATTGTGTCACTGGTCTGATTCATAAGGCAGACCTTATGATGTCATAATGCATGTAACCTTTAGTCTATGCCTTGATTTATCAATTTTTGCTTATCTGCTGAACGTTATCTTGTATAGATTGACCTTCTTCTCTGATTTTTGGCAGGGCTGGGTCAACCAGGTACTGGTGTATGGTTCTCGACACAATAGTATAGTATAGCATAGCTTTCATTGTCTTCCTATATTCCTATTATATGTGACAGTAATTTGGCAGCTCGGTTGTTGGTGAGAAAATTGAGATCGGTTGTGATCTCTTGTGCTCACTCTTGAAACTACAGTTAGTATTAATATATAAACAACTTTTTTTTTTAACAAGAATATATGTAGACTACATAGAGTTCATGCATATGCAAGTCCCTGAATTGTGATTCCACGAGTTTGTATATACTTTCCAAAAAAAAAAAAAAAAAGATTTTTGCTGTTGATGATATTTATCTGGTGATGCCAAGAGGGAAGAGCTGATGCCAATCTCTTTTTAGATGTAGCCCGTCCTCATGTTAATTGGAAATATAAATTGGGCGGAAAATAGTGCTTATTGTCTTTGGGGTTTCAGTTATTGATGTAATTATTTTAATAGGATTTCAAACTTTTGTTCATTATTATTACCTCAGTACGGCCAAGTGTTAGCTTGGTTTTTCAATTAGACACATTTTTCGTATAAATAGTTTCATTTTTTCCAATTTATTAATACGAATTTCACTTAAAGGAAAATAAATTAATAAGAAGTGTCAAAATTCTCTATTCTGGTTTTGTTATAGAGATCTAAAACGTGTAAAATTGTGTAATGGATGTGTACGTGCTCCCTTCAGTCTCAATTATTAGCATGATCTATCAAATCTTCTTTGTTTTTATTATAAGAAAAAGATACCAATTTTAAGTGTATTTAATTCATCTTTTTAATTGTGCTCCTCACTCTAATTGAATATTTTAGCTGAGGAAAAAGAATTAAATTCAATTTCAAACATAATTAAGAAGAATATCTAAACTTATTAAGAATTATGGGACATATTTTTCTTATAATGGGGACAGGAGGGAGTATGTTTAAGTATTAATGAAGTCTTATTTAGTTTGCCAAAATAAAAAACCTTGATCAAAATTCAATGTTTGAAATCATTCGAGTTTCTTCAGCTAAGGTTTCTTCAAGAGATTTCTTGGGAGCCGTAGCTGGATTTTGAAGTGCGAAGGATTATAACATATCAATGTTCCTGTTTCAGCACATAGGCGTTCAGCATGGGAGGTGAATTTGAAAGAAGCAATAGTTTATTTGAGTTGTAACTAAAGTATTTTACGTTAGTAGGGCAAATTAGTAATTTTAAAGTCATTATTATATAAATTTTAGGCTAAAATGTATAAAATCTTTCTAAACTTTAAGGCAGTTTTATATATAACTTCTTTCATCTTTAAAAGTTTAAAATTAACGTTCATAATCTTTAATTTTATCTTTCAAAACCTCTTATTATTAATTATATTTTTTTATGAGGGTTAAAATACTATTCAACTAAAAAAATGTTATTGAACAAAAATATTATATTGTATAACTATTTATAATAAATTTTTTATATTTTTTAAATTGTTGAGGCATTGATAATAAAAACAAGTTATTATTACTGTATAAAATTTCAAATATTTATGTTTATATTAATTTTATTCATATTTTTTTGTTATCAATGGTGTATGATTTTATTGTTTTAAAAGATAAATTTTTATTTATATTTTCATGTTAGATTAAATTTATCTTTTAATACTAAAAAACTATGCACCATTGATAACAAAAAAAAAAAAGTGATATAACCAACACAAAAGTAAGTATTTAAAATTTTATATGGTAATAATAACATTTGTTTTGACTATTATTAATGACTCAATTATTCAAAAAATATAAAAAATTAATTAGCCATAATTATACAATATAATATCTTATTTAATAATATTTTTTAGTTGAATGAAATTCAACCTTTATGAAAAAGTAACATAATTAATAATAGGAGGTTTTGAAAAATAAAATTAAAAATTAGGGATTAATTTTAAATTTTTAAAGATGATGGGTGCTATAAACAACTTTCTTAAAATTTAGGGGTGTTTTATTTATTTGTCTAAATTTTAATCAAGAAAAAATATCATCGGAAGGTTTTATCAACGTATTTGGATCAAAACTCTATAATCAAAACTCTATAATAATTTTAGTTTTTGGGCCAACACTTCTAATTTTTTCTTAAATTTTCATCTGAACTTTGGAAAATCTGATTCTTTATATAATTTTTTCTAACCATATTTGCAATTCAACCATTGCTATCAATACAACACATATTAGTTGAGAGTTGAGATAGGGCTTGAGAGCCTTCAAATCAAGTTGTTTAATTTAATTTGCTAAAAATGTTGAATCAATTTATTTTCAAATCTCGAGTTTATATATTAAAATATATAATTATATTAAATAAATATATATTAATAGTATTTCAGAGATACCCAAATCCAGGCGGGGGTGGCAGTTTCATACATGGGCGAAAGATTCATAAGAGAATTTGAGAACCTCAATGACAATGTTATTGTTAGCCCTCCATTTATTTCTTATTATGAAATTTGAAGTTCTACGTATGGACAACTGAGCATTTATTCAGCTTCTACAATCATGCAAAGCCCAAAAATCAGAGAAGTCAGATTCTTTCAAAGCACTCATTCCATAGAGTTCTGCCAGTTCTCTGATACAGTACTGGCAACGCCTTCTCTTCCGGTGACTGTAAATTTGGTATTCTATTGCCATTGGAAGAGCATAAGTAAGAAAACCGATCATTTCCTACTTGTGGGTTTTCCGTTCCATCTTCTTTTTCTTCTTTACCTTTAGTCTGATTCATATTTTTCTGCATTAGATCTCTAAACACTGAGGATTTCAGCAGAAGCCCTAATGCTGTTGGAGAAGATGATGACTTGGCACCATTACTATGACTTAAAGGGGTCAAATACTGAGGTATGTCTTGCTCCACTGGATTGTGATTGAAATTGGATGCCTAGTGTAGAAACAATTGAGAACTTTCAGAGAACTTTTTGGGCAGAGTTCGACAAACAGATTCATAATCAATCAATGATTCAAAATATAGGGAAAATTGCTCTTACGATCCATACAAAGAATCTAAATATAGAAAAGTCTTGTGAAATCACAAAATTACTCTGAAATCTCATGTTCTTTACTGAAGTTGTCAATTATTGCTGGATAGTTATTAATTATTACTGCTTAGCTTTCAACTGAACAGAACTGCTGATAATTATCTAGTAGTAATTGATAACTTCAATAAACAACATAAGACTCTAGAGTAATTTTGTGATTTTATGGGATTTTTATGTATTTAGATTACTTGTGTGAGACCTAAAAATGATTTTCTCAATATATAACATCAATTAACAATTGTGAACTTTTAGACAACTCTTGCGACAGATTTCAACATGCGCATTCATAGTTACTGTAAATAATATATAAAATAATTAGAATGTTTCACCCTTGATACCTCAATGATTTCTCTGGTTTGGCTGAGGTTAGGGTTTGTCATGAGATGGTGAATTTGTGGGTTTTGCTTTTGTTCTTGAGAAGCAGTATTAAGGGCTTCTGGTCTTAGCCATCTAATATAAGTGCTCAAGTCAAAGTTTGTTACTGCATTCAAGCCTCTGTACTCTATAGCTGCTATATCATATGCTCTAGCAGCCTCTTCTTGTGTACCTGCAAGATTACCATTCTTGAGACACTCTCTATATAATCATCATCTCGCACCTTCAAGCTTGGTTTGGATGGAGAGAAAAGCGAGAGGAAAATAGGGAGAAGAGAAAACTAGGAGGAGAAATTGCTGAAAATAGTAATTTTGTTAAAACTATTTTTAGAAGTTTTCTTTCATAGTTTTCCTTCCTCTCTATTTTTCTCTCCATCGAAACAGTGGTCAATGTAATGAGATTTTGACTTTATAAATCTAGATTAATGATAAAGAGGCTGAAACTCACTGTAAGTGCCAAGGTAGAGGTACTTGTTACCAAAAACCCTCCCAATTCTTGCTTCCCATCTTCCATTGTGATGGTGCCTGCACTCAAATTTCAGAATTTATGACTTCACCATTAAATATTTACATGCTAGAAGCTAAATATATAACTTGATTGAAATAGGGTTGACCTTGCTACTCCTCTGTACTTTGATACTCCTCTAGAAAATCCACTGCTTCTCCTGCAAAATGTAAAATGAATCTCATGCATGCATGCATACATACATATATAGTATCAAGGGAATTAGTTCTAGAAAAAATGGGATTTACCTTCTCAAAGAAGCAAGATATTCTTCTTTTGTCATAGTTTTCATTATCTCAATCTCTTTCTCGTAATTAGATACCTACAAAAGTGCCACACTAATTCTAAATAAGCTAATGAGGCATCATTGGAATAACCAATTGTTATTATGAAAATATTTAGATGGTCTCAGTCTGCTAAAAACAAGTAGACTGAATTACTCATGATGAAACAAATATGTATGTCAAGCACCCTTTTACCTTCCGTTAGGAATGAGAGAAAAACAAGGAGGAGAGAAAACCTGGGGATAAATGTAAAAGACAAAAATATTCTCCCTCCCAAGTTGTCCCTTTAGTTTTCACTTCTCTAAGGAGAAATTAGGAAAAAGAAAACGGGGGTGAAAAATGTCTTTTTCCTCTAGTTTTCTCTCCTTTCTATTTTCTTCCCATTCCAAACAAAGTCTTAATATCTCAGTTTACACATACTTGTATGATTAGTTATTATATGTGGAGTCTGCAAAACTTTTGTTAATTGAATATACTGAAGTTCCTCAAGATCAAATAGTTTACTGATGACAGCCATACAGGGAAGTTTATGAATGTAGAAATTCCCCAGTACTTGAGTGCAGCCAAATCATATGCTCTAGCCGCAGCTTCTTCATCAGCATAAGCTCCTGTTCAGTAAGTCAATCTCAAAAAGTTCAGTTTTCAACATCATGAAAAGAAACTGTGGGAACAAAACAGTTCAAGTGCTTACCCAAATATACTGATCCATACCACCCAACAAATCCAAAGTTTCCATACAAAAGCACAAATAAATGAACAAGGTGTGAGAAATTAAATCAAGATAAGCATAAGGAAGAACATGACAAGTTAATAAGATATGAAGCAGATGAACGGTTAAAAGCATCATTTATATGCATACCTTGCTTCCCTTTCTTCTTCTGAGTTGGATTCCAAGTCCCTTTGTCCCATAAATGAGCTTCATACCTCCCTGTCCATCTGTGTCTGCTTTTCAGAAAGATATGATTAGCTTCAAATCATTAACCAAGTATGCATCTATGTTAAGAAACAGTAGATTACATTTGAAGTTCTAAAGTTTTAGTATCACTCCTGCGGTTCCTATTATAAGGTACCTCTAACTATTTCATTGGAATCAGTCATGAGTTATTTTTTGTGACAATAGAATAAACTTTCAATTCTTTCCCTATTTAATTGAAAATTTTCAAATTTATACTATATTTTTTCTTATAATGAATGAGTTTAAATAGGGATAATATTAGAAAAATGTAATTAATACCCATCAAATGCCTTATATTAAGGATCAAAGGATCCTTCTAATAGGCACCCGATAATAGGGACCAAAGGGAATATATAATAACTAGTTCATAGAAGAGACCTGCTAACTCCACGAAACCTCGAACTTCTCTTGACAGTAGTAGTGGTAGCAGTTGATTGACCACCCCGTGGTTGCTCTTGCTTCTCATTACCCTGTAGAAGCACAACTGATGAGTCTCTTCGCCGCCTTTTCATGCACTTTATGTCAATATTCCCGCCTTGCATCATGAACAACCTATGGCTTCTTGGGCAGAATTCAGTTTTTACAGTTGAAAGCTCCATTTTGCTTTAACTGTATATGGACAAGAAAGGCCAAAAGACACAAGAAGTTATGGTTTACTTGGAATGAGATATATACTCATGTTGTTAGGATTAGTTCTTTATATATGCATTGAACATCTTGTTCTCATCCTTAATTTGCACCTTGTGTTGTAATATCTGGTTTTGTCAGAAGAAAAACAAGAATGTCGATGAAAACCATTAGAATGAGACACAGTTTTTGGTTGTCCATACCCCCTAAAACCTAGTATGAGAATTGGGATATAAACAAAATTATTTGGTCCAATGTAACAGAATGTTCAATCCAAAATCGTCTCAGACCATGTCTCTGATAAAACCAAAGTAAGAATATTGTCATATGTTAGTTAATCAAACAAAGACCATGCTTTGGTTTATAACGGAAGGTAACTAACAGAACAAGAGTGCTACTTCCTCCCATCTTATCACCTTGTAAAATAATTCTTTATTGTTTAATATAAGACACTTGATGAGGTATTAATTACATTTTTTTAATATTATCTCTATTTATACTTATATTTATACTTATTAATTATGAGAAAGAAAGTAATGTAAATTTGAAAATTTTTCATTTAAATAGGGTAAAATTGGAAGTTTATTTTATTTTCAAACAAAGTTAATAACTTGACTGTTTCATATTGATTCTGGTAAGATAGTTAGAAGTGCGTTATAATAAGAGCAGGATGGAGTAATCAGTTTTATTATTAAATTTCTTGGAAGTGGTGATTTTCAACATAAAACAGACATAATTTGCATTATATATAAATTTGGTCCTGTACATGTTTTTCGTCTGGAAATGACTTAGTCCCTACAAATAATGTATGCAAGTTTCTGTTGACAAATGACTCTTAATCCTTGCTGCATGATATTATAATTAAGTGTTATTTTATTCATTTATTGTGACTAATTCAAGCATATCCAATGTTTTGGGTCTAGTGTTGCGCTAAACTTATGTGATAATTAAAGGGACATCTTTTTAATTATCAAATTAGTGGCACATTGTCATTTTTTTGTTAAAAACGCAATTTCAATATTATTTACCTATTGTTATTAAAAAAAAGTATTATTTACCTATAAAAATTTGCAAAAGATTCAAAAGAAAAAAGTAGAATATAAAAGTCATAAAAGTGATTGCTTTAATTCCATTTTTAAATAACAATCATCTGTTATATAACATTAATTAATTCAAACTCAAATGTTGTTAGACTCATGTAAAAGACCAAATCATATTTTTAATCTATCGGGTAATTATCAAATATCATTGGCAACGATATTGGTAAATATCTAAAAAAATATTATTTTTATTTTAATAATATTGTATCAAAATATCAATAGTTTAATATATAATAATTTAAATATCATTATTATTTTCAAAAATTCACATGCAATTTATAAGTTAACTATTGAGATTTACGTAGTTTTCAAAAATTATTACTTAACTAGTGTATTTAAGATTTAGAAATAAATGTATTTTTTACACTGAAGGTAAATTTTTGATTTAGAACTAATAAATTTTGGATGAAAATTTATAATTTTTCACGCTATTTTAAATTACAACTTAGATAATGTGAAAATTACATTCATCTATAAATCTCATATGCTCTAGTTGAGCTTTTAATTTTTCAAACAATAATTATAAATTCAGGAAGGATATTTATAAATAATAATATTTAAAATTATGAAATATTAATAAGTTAATATGTTAATAAAATATTATTAAAACAAATATTTTTAATTATTTATCGGTGTTGTCAATAATAGTGATTCGATGATCACCTGATAGCTGGTCAAAGTGGTTAACAAAAATGGCATATAAGTTTTTTACATGAGAAATAAGTAACATTTGTCTCTTAATATTTATTTATAATTTAAGAAATTCAGTTGGTATTAATTTTCTTATAAACCTTATTATATTGGTCCTTTTATTGTAATTTTTAAAGTATTTTTTATAATTTTTTAGGTAACTAATAATTAAAGTTAACTTTTAAAGGACATTGAACATATGTGATAATTTAAGGGACATCTTTTTCAATTGTTAAGCTAACAATTGCACTGTAAAAATGATTAAGCTAACATTGCACTGTTTTCAATTGTTTAAAGGGAAACATTGTATTTAAAAAAAAAAATCAGGGTCTCAAATATTCCTTAACTTATAGTTTAAGGATAAAATTGGTTTTAAACCCATAATTAATTTGTGTAAACACTTGAAGCTATAAAATTGACATGATTTTATTTTTTTTTCGTTGGTGAACATGTGAAAAGAAAAAAATTAAATCAAGATTATTACAAGCTCAAATTGTGTGAGCAATAGGAGCTCTTGTTATTTAAACAAGTTATTACGGTTCCAATCTTAACCCTTTGTGTGTAGCAACTTAGTTGATAGTAGTTTACTCATTATCCTTAATATCTCAAGATAAATAATCTGTTATTGATGAGGTCAACTTCTTGTACTCAAGAAAAACTTCTAAAATTAGTGGACCCAGGAGAATTAGAGGGAGGGAAGAAAAGAGACCAGATTGCGTTACTATATCATTAGAGGAGAATCTAATGACGGCAAGGTAGATGGATTAGAAAATTTGGAAAGCAAGACAAAAAAGGTTTGGCCGTTTGCCTTATACTGAGAGGTAAATTGAAACTTTTATGGAGCTTCTTTAGTACTTTGTAATAACCAGGCGATAATATTGCCAAGCATTCTTGATTACTCCTTCCGTTTAAAAATATAAAATATTTTTAATTAAATATCACTTTTTAATAAAGTAGTTAATTATCTTTAAAATAATTTTATATTTTTATATTTATTTTTATTTAATAAAATATTTCATTCTAAAATAAATATAAATTAATTCATTTTATAAGGGTATTTTTTAAAAAAAATAATGATTATACCTTGAAAAATTAAAAATACTTTATATTTTTAAATATTTAACCCGTCAAAAAATGTTTTACATTTTTAACAAAGGGACTCTATGTTAAAAGAAATGTTCTCATTTATGAAATTGCTTTTTGGCCCAAAAAAAATTATGAAGTTGCTTAAAGTAAACGCCTTGCAAATTTCGTCCCAAAAAAGTACTTGTTTGTTTTATTTTGCCATTTGTTTACTGTTCCAGCTTCAACATCTTTGCATTAAGTAGGAAAAAAATGAATTTACTTACTTAAAGAATACTTAAAGAGATATTTATAAAGTATTCAACAATTAAATTCTCATATGGGTAGTGAGATTTCACCAATTATTTTGTGGGTTATGTGATGTTATTCTCTAATTAATGAAGCAATCTCTTGACTAATTCATTATCCTCTATTTAATGAACTTTATTGAGGGTAGTTATAAAAATTTAAAAGCATTAAAAAAAATTAACTGAATACTTTTTTTTTTGGTTTTAATTTAACTGAATTCTTTATTATATTTAAAGTTCTTAAAGGTCCTTATCATATGGACTTTAGGGAGTATTTTCTTGAAGGCAAATTAGATCTTGAATGCCTATCATTTTGGGCATCTCTTACGGATCTTCATTGAAATTTGGATAATTTGTATTCGAGAGGATAATAATTAGATCTTAAAAGATTCAATTAATGAAGATAAGGTTCTAATTTTTTTTTTGAAAATGAGTTAAAAATATTTTTCAAACAATTATAAATGAACACAAGTGATAAATGAAGAAAAAATTAGTAAATATGCAATAAATATGTGTAGAATATGCATATATTGTAAAATTATAAATTATGAATTATGAAATAAGTATACATATTTTGGATTTAAATGATAAAATATTAATTTTCATTATATATAATTATTTTATTTTAAGCATATATTATTTAAAATATATCAATTTATTTATGACCAGTTGAATTATGGTTCAGATCACTGTCTGATCATTGACCCATGAATCGATACTTTGGCTGGTTCAATAACCAATCTAGTTTTCTTAACATTGAATCTTATTTATAGAGTAAAGAATGAAAATTAATTTTGACTCTATTTATAAGGCATTTTATTATTTTTAATATGTTTATCTTTATTGTTCTGCCCATATTAAATGGTAGAAAAAATTATTAAAAATAATTATTTTTATATTTATTAATGATAGAGGTGGAAACTTATTTAATTTTTAGATAAAATTATTGAGATTTAAAATTTTCTTTAATTTTAATAAATGGGTTAAAAACGATTATAAATAACATCACAGAGAGTAATTACTGCAAAACACGTTACGTCATTTGGGAAAAAACCTCAAGTAAATGCTTCGCAGACTTCGTCCGTCCAAGAAGATTTCATTGTTTGTTGACAGTTTGTCAGCTTGTGTAGAGTTTCAGCTTCTACTTTCATCAAACTCCGTAGAAGAAAACAGAAATTTCTCGAAGAAGCTTTTGGATTATTAGAACTATATAATTTCTACATAAATATGTTCATGCACATATGCAAGACTTTGTCTTTTTTAATATAATTATATAAGATTTTTTCTATTTAAGTATTATCAGGTTCAATTAGAAATAATATTCTCAAAAATATTTGTTGCATTCATTTAAATTTAAATTTATGATCTCGTATTTAAACAGCCATAATCCCTTGTACTAAGGATTAACACCTATTAGTGTAAGATATTGCCAAGCTATTAGAAAGTTAAATAACAAAAACAAGGGAAGGTATCACATTTCCCATATCAGTTCATGTGCACTGGATCTACAAGCACATAAATATCAAAGATTTCTGCATGAAAAAAAAAAATTAACAAGCAATAATAATTAAAAAGAGAACAAGAACACTAATATGAGAAGCTGGTAGTTATTGAGTTAGCAAAGATGAACTTCTATGTTAGTATAATCTCCCCCTATTCCGATTGTATATTGGGAAATGTTTCTTCTTTTTTTTTTTTTAATTCATAACTTTTTTTTTTTTTAATGTTAACAGGACAGGTAATGGTCTCAAGAAGGTGCCAAAGGCCTATTGGCCTGGTGGCGAGAGGGAGGGGGGGAATTGGTTTCATAAA